TTTTTTTTTTTTTTTTTTTTTTTTTTTTTTTTTTTTTTTGCGTTTGTTACATTGATTTTTTGGCTGAATTTCGATTTATTGTTGTTGTTGTGGTGGTTCGTACAATAGAAAGTTACGAGAATTAGAAATGAACATCTTGATCATGCTTGTGGTGTGATCAATGACCGAGTGAAAGGTTCGTTAAAGGTGACTCGAGCTTTTGGGGCCGGTTTTCTCAAACATGTGTGTATATGTGAGTATGTATGTTCTTTTGAGGCATATTCTTTGTGGTTTTGGGTATTTGCTCTTTCATCCCGATGAAGCATAATATGGTTCTGATATGCTTGCTAAACGCAACGTGTCCTTGTAGAAGGATTTCAGAAATGTATGTCAAGTTGCTTTTGCGGTTTTATTTTTATTATACAAAAGGAAAATATATTGTTTTATAATGATTATGAATTGATTAATGAGTGTTTCTTGATGCTTTGATGTTATCCAAATTTTCTTGAGGTATTAAACCATAAATTTTAGGCTATTTGTTTTATGTGTGGCTTTGCTGTTTGTGAATTGAGGTAAATTGGATGATTATTTGCTTTGTCTATTAGACTATAGAGAATTCGAAATGATTTCGGGTTTTGCAGTGCTGGTTGGTGAATATAGATAAATGGCTACTTGTGGAATTTTGATTGTTCCAACTGTGTTTTCTTGTGAGCTGTGATACTATTTTAGTCTATTTTCTGAAGTTCCTCTGTTTTACTCATCGGCCAACCGATATGTTCTTTCTGTCAGATGAGAAGAGAGGTGAAAATGGAGACTCGAAGGTCGGAAAAAGTGATGGGCTGCGTTTTATATTTTTCGATGGCTCCGATTACCCCTTCTTTCTAATTTACGTGTGTTAATTTTTAGAAAATAAAAATTAAAGTAGCTTTTTTAGTGTTAGTTTGATGTTTATTTGATGTTTATCTATGGTTTTCTTGAAGATGAGAGCTTGAATAATCTGTGGAAGTTTTTTATAAAGTAGATTTTTGAGTGTTAATTGATCTATGATTTCATTACGTGTGTTAATTTCTGGGAACAAAATTTAGTTTTTTTGCGAATTAATTCGATGTTTATCGATGATTTCTTGAAACTCAGAGCTTGAATAATATCTAGAAGTTTTTTTTATTCACTGCAAATGTGACTCATGTCTTGCAATTAATTCTCTAAATTTTGATGTAGAGAATTTGAAAGCTACTTTCGCGTTGTTGTGCCGATTGGTGATCGTTGTTTGTGTGTGTGCTTACTATGTGATATATTTGTGTTTTGAATGATTTTGAAAGTTAATTTGATTGTTTATCTGTAATCAAAGATATGATTATATAGGTATTAATTAGGTTTTTTTTGTTTATTTGTAGTTTATATTCAGTTTATTTTTTTAATTAATTAGGTTTTTTTTTTGTTTATTTGTAGTTTATATTTAATTTATTTTTTTAATTAATTAGGTTTTTAGGTTTATTTGTAGTTTATATTTAGTTTATTTTTTTAATTAATTAGGTTTTTTTTTTGGTTTATTTGTAGTTTATATTAAGTTTATTTTTTAATTGATTTTGTTGTCTATTTATTTATGTGTCATTTAGTTATAATTATAAATTAGATAATATACTTAAGATATACTTAAAATT